CGATTTATCGAAACAAACCTGAAAGAGACGATCTCGAGTAATGTAAATTAAATTTTTGTCAGACTCTTGCATTTGAATTGTTGAATATTAATTTACATCATTTACACAGAAATTTTATTTTTTAATTTTCTCATTACAGAAAAATATTTCTCAATCTATTTTTTTTTGTTTATTATTCGATATCGCGGTTTAAATTAAACTAATTGAGTATAAAAATCTTCAGCATCTTTTAAAAAAAATTATTTATAAGAACAGAATTATTTAAATCGATTTAATCAAAAAATTCTCAAAAAAAACACATGTAACCGTAGATGAAATATCGCGGTTTAAATTAAATTAGTTGAGTATAAAAATCTTCAGAGAGCATCTTCTAAACCTTCTAAAAGAATTATTTATAAAAACAGAATTATCTAAATTGATTTAATCGAAAAATTCTCAAAAAAATACGTGTAACCGTAGATGGAATATCGCGGATAGAGGGTAGGGGATTGGAGTATTATATCTTCATTCGCTGTTACATCTCCGCGTTACGTTGTAACGCACGGATGTCGGGTACCATTATTACGACACGAGAATCGAGAATTAATACTTTATTTGTGTGTCACTCCAGCTGCGAGGATCAACACAAGTGTCCCCCTTGTGACAAGAGGGTACTCTTAATGCGCAGTCTCTCGCTTTCTACGGTCGGGGGCTGGATTCTATGGTTTGCTAATTTTCACGGGATCATCGTACCGTGACGTTGGAGCAGATTAGGCTCAATGAAAAGCATCGAACTTTCGCGCCTCCCGATAACCGCTTCTTTTTCCGGTCGAATTACCGATATAATTCGGCTATCGCGAATAAATTATAAATTTATCTTCGCTCTTTTATAAATTTTTTTTTTATCTAACAAACAATTGTTAAAAGGTAAAATTGAAAAATAAATATCTCCGGAAATGTTATTTTTGCTGAGAAAAATTATCATGATTTTTTTAATACAATGCAGTATACATATAATTTATACGTATAAATATATTTATTTAGAACTCTCTTATATATATATATATATATATATATATATAAATCTTATTATTTACTTAGCTCGTGTATTATAGGGATAAATCGTTAGGAAAATGATGTGCCTCGATCGAACATGCAAACGATAAGGGCAGGTGCATCAACACACCTGCGTCAATCCAAGATAAACTCTCAATCAAACATTGCATAAATCAACTCATATTTTCTTCCGAGAATATGTCTGATAAGAATCGATAAGGTATCTTTTTTTAGCATTATGTATCATCATTTTTATTGATTTCTTATTTATGTGATCGTTATTATCAATGTGCTGGAAAAAAAAACAAGACACTTCGAAGCTATTGCAAGTTCTTCTTTTCGATTCTATGAAAAAATTGTAATCAATTTTCTCTGTTCTTGTAAAAAAATATATATATTAATATCCATATCTTAAATCACATATGTTTTTGAATATTAAGTCTTTTTATAGAAGCTTAACAAATTTAGCTGGATGTTTTAAGATCTTCGAAAATTTTATAATATCCAGCTAAATTTGTTAAACTTAAGATATTAAATATTAATATAATTTTTGATTACAAATGAAATTTTAAATAGAGAAAACAAGTTTATCAAGAAACTATATTATATTTCAGTTTTATTAAATTGCTATACTGGAAAAAAAGTTTGCTAACTTTTCTAAACCTCTCAACTAAATATTATTTTATTAATCATATAAAAATATTTAAACTAAATTTACATCCAGAATTGAGTAAGTTAATAATTTTTTTTAAACTAACAATAAGTTAAGTTAAAGTTAATTGCTTATAAAATTTTCCCAAGTTAAATTTCTTTTATCTCTAAATACCATTATTGTTTTTTTTTTATAAGTTATAAACGTATTATTTCTAAAATAAAGTATTATATTAATTTTTATGTTTATTTGTCATCAATTATAATTAAAAATTAATACATTTTAAATTAACTTTTAAGCTCGAGCTTAAAAGTTTTAACTTTTAACTAATTAACTAGTTATTACATTCGATTTAAATACTAATACATTGTATTAACAAATTCTTTAGTGTAAGAAATAATTAAAAATTATGGATATTTCACGTTGTTCAATTCGGACAATCGAACCGAATCGTGCGTTAAACATCAGGACACTTTATCGAGCAGAAGACGCGTCTCTTATCAGACGCGAGGTCGCGAATCGATCGGTCCCCCTGTGCCACGAAATCGTCCCTAATTGTCCACAAATCGACGTCCACCCTCGATTTCCCGAAGCGTTAAATACAGCCCCCGGAGGCAGCAATCGAACGATGAGAATAAAGAAAGGGAGCAGTGGTGTTCCGCTAGCCCCCTTGGACATGGGGTGAGTTCGGGTTCACCGGGCACACACCCCGTGGAATATGGATTCAATTACACCTCATTGTGCAGCGGTGTCTATAAACAACGCTGTTTTCACAGCTGATAGTGGCCCACCATCCTGCGGGTCGTGCACTCTCCAAGTGAATATATATTTCACGCGTGTATATTCTATCTCTGGTTCTGATTGACAGATCATTCGAAATTTCGGGGGTTTCTTTATTTCTGTTTTTAATTTATATATATATTTTTTTTTTATTCTTATTTCTTATTGAAAGAGATCGATCCAAATTTGTTTTGCGACTCTAGAAATTATGTACATACATATGATGCAGTTAAAATATTGATCGATGTATATAATTATTTAAATATATGTATTACTTGATATGTGACAGCCTTTGCAATTTTTTTAAATTTAATTTTTCTAAAAGAAGACTAGATTGTTCTTATAAAACGCGATTGTATAAATATTTGGTGCTTTATAAAATCGCTATCTTATTTCTTATTGAGAGAAGTAAATCCAGGGGGCTGTAGAAATTATATGATGCAATTGAAATATTTATCAGACAATGTATATAATTATTTACATATACTTGATATATGATTTTTACAATTTTTAAAATTTAATTTTTCTAAAAAGAGACTAGATTGTGTTTATAAAACGTCATTGTATAAATATTCAGTGTTTTAAATATAAAGAGACGTTTTATAAAATCGCTAAACTTACAAAAAGTCTGCGACATACATGATTGTTTATATACACGATTTTTCATTATGATATATATTTTATAAAACCATGAAATAATAATTGCATTTTTACAGGGTTGGGTAATAACTAGTTAATTAGTTAAAAGTTAACAAAATTTTAATAACTTTTAACTTCAGCTAGTTATTTTTAACTTTCAACTTATTATTAATTTTTGCCTAAGTTAAATTTCTTTTATCTCTGAATACCATTATTGTCTTTTTATAAGTCATAAACGTGTTATTTTTAAAATAAAGTATTATTAATTTTTGTTCATTTATCATCAATTGTAATTACCAAAAAATATATTTCTATATAAAAATCTAAATTTCTTTGTCATTTGCTATTATAAATTCGAAAAGAATTAACAAAATTCTAATTCAATATAAACGTTCATAAAAATTAACTTTTGCTTTAACTGCAGTTAATTTAACCCTAGCTTAACTTTAACTAAGTTAATTTTTGTACGTGCAACTTGACAAAATTAACACAAGCAATTAACTTGAACTTAATCATGAACTTACCCAACCCTGCATTTTGACAGAGCGCGATATTCATTGCAAATCGCGACCAATGATCCCCGATATGCGTGCGAGCGCGTAATAAGCGCAACGAGAGATTGAAGTTCCTTATCTCTCACCGTGTTTGCGGCTTTGAAGTTGTTAATGACGATAATGACGTGCGATAATGAAACGGTCGAGCAGCGGACGGCAATTCGGACGAGATAGGGAGGACCGTTTCGGGCCCGCGTGTCGTCGCGATGACGAGGAGGAAAAACGGAGGATCGTGAGAAGACTCGCAGCCGTCGACGCCATTATCCCCTGTGAGTTGCAGGGCGTCGCGACGCCGCAATATCGACGTCCCCGCCTACATCTCCCTCCGTTTCCTGCTCTTTTTCTCTCCTTGTCCCATCTCTCTCTCTCTTTCTCTTCAAATCCAACCCCACGCGAAGCGCAAGGAGCACTTTTAGGGTGTTTCGGTTATCAACTCTACGGCGTTTTCGGCCATCTTGCCGAGAACGAAAGTTCTTGGGATGCGAGATTTGATGGGTGGAAAAGATACCTGCAATCTTGCAAATGTTCGATTTCTTTTAATTAGACTAGATGTCTGCTGAAAAATTCGTGATACACGGGGATAATTTTCTCTTAATATTTATTCTGAAAATCATGGTAATACGTGAGACAATATATGGTATTGGAGGGATTTTTCTGATTAAATATTTATCGCAATAAAAAATATTCATATGTACATAGTAAAATTAATCGAATATATTTTATATCTTATTGTAGTAAAAATATTAATCAGAAAAACTCTGATAAAATTCTTAAAAATCCAATATTGTCCCACGATTATCATGATTTTCAGGATAAATTTTAAAAGAAAATTCTCTCTGCGTAGTATTTGATTTATTACACAACAACATGAATTTTTAAAATGAAATTTTGTGTTGATTTTGGCGGGTAAAAGAATTTTTATTGTCAGAAATTTCTAGGTGAAGGTTTATATCTATGCATCAATTTTTAAGCTGTCAAAAAGAAATGTGCGTTTTATTTCACATTAATTGCACTTATTAAGGGTCTAGATAAATACGACGAATTTTCAGAACTACCTTTATTTGGCTTTGTTATTCACAATGATGATGATGCTCGCTGCATACATCATCTCTTACGCGATAATTATGTATAAACGATGTTCTTATCCCATTAGAGCCTATTTTGATCATTTCTATTTACAAATCACGTTCTCTGTCGAACGTTTGTAAAAATACCTCGTGATATCTACTCGGATGAATAGATTTGACCATGCAAAAGTGAAAACTGAATTGGCTATTGCAAAATAAACCCGACTCTTTTTCAAAATAAAATCTAAATCAGGAAGATCAATTACTCTATTTAATAAAACAATTATTGAACTTGAAAATCCAAGTTCAAAATATATTTAGAATGCATTTATCTACAAAAACGCGTAGATGGAATCTTGCAAAACATTTGTTTCTCTCGTGACGTGTGCATTTTGCAACGGCTAATTCGATTTGTTACAACAAATTTCAATTTTCGATGAAATCGCGAGAAATAAATATATATTAGCGATTATATTTCGCTGAAAGAAATCTGAAAAAATTACAGAGGCTTGATATGAGAACGTACAAATCACATGAGACATGAGGATCGGTGACTAGAAACGTGTTTTTCTCCTTAGACACTAAATAACACGCGAGATGAGGAACGATCCTCTTCCCTTGTATAAATAGAGTCTTACGAGTAAGGTCGTACATTCTCTTTTTTTATCTCGTCGATGTTTTTCGACGTCTACTCGAAAGCCGTCCCGCTTTTCGACGCTCGCGGATCCTCCGGGGTCCAAACTTTCGCGTACATCGTTCCGTTCGGCGAGATGTCAGATTTTCTCGACCACGAGAGCGAATGCGAAATAAACGGATTTCCACCGCATCCTGAAAATGAAAAAGTCGCAGTTCGGCAAAAATTTAATTTATCAAAATTGTCAAAGAATACGATCGACGTTAATTAATTTGTGAAAGTAATAACCCAGTGAGCAAGAAATATTTAATCAACATTTGAAAATGTTGATTTTATTTATATTTTCTGAACATTATGATATAATGTTTTATCAATAGGTTTTAAATATTTTTATAAACGTATTAATAAATATTTAAAAAAGATTTTAACTCGTGTTTTATAAATGTTTTAAAAATATTATTTAATAATATATTGCTCTCAAAATATTAATAAAATATATTTTAAAAATGTAAAAAATGAAAATCATTATAATAACGTTGTGTGTAGCAATGATTTCTTGCTTACTGGGAATCGTTTTGGGAAAAAAGTACTAGCACCTCCAAATAGATGAGAGTTTGAAAAATGTTATAAAATTTGTTAATTAAATTTTTATTTTAATTAAGTTGTGACGGGCATATGATCATTATCATTTTGATAAAAATACGAACTTGAAAATTGTGTAATAAAATTTTTTCATTTAATTAAAAAATATCGGAATTAAAGTATGGCTGTAACTTGTGAAAAAACAGGAAGCATAAATAATGCGGGAACAGTTTGCGCGGTTCCCAAAATTTTTGATAATCTCTCAATTTCGCTGAACAATAAATTCACCGCGAAGCACCTCGTATCTATATCGGGGAGGACACCTGTCTTGGAATAAAATAAAGGGTAGATGGGTAATTATGATAAATCGACCTGTGTGATGCCGAGGCGGAAGTAGTCAGTCCGATGTTAATATGTTGTGCACATATAATATCGAAATAGCGTGAAGTGCGACACGTGCATTAAACTATAATAAATCTCACGCGCAGAAATTGTAATCAAAATCGAATCACGGACGAAGTGTCAGCAAAGTCGGATTGTCAAATCTAAATTGTGTAAATTACATGCCGTGCTCAAAAAACTGTATCGTAGGAAAAAGTTCTCGATATTAAAATATATTTTTGATTACTTATCAAAGTCGACTCATATTTTTTCAGTTATCAGAAATATCAATGACTTTTTGAAACTTTGTGTCAATTTCATAAAAAAAATTTTTAATATAGGATATTACGATAATTATTGTTTATTAATACGTTTATATTGTGTGTGGTATTATTTTATACATATTAAAAATCTAAGCAAGCAGAATTTTCTCTTAGAATTAATCCTGAAAATCATAGTCAATCAACAATATAGTATTGGAAGAATTTTATAAGAGATTCTCTTATATTAAAATATTTACTACAATAAAAATATTAATCTCGGAAATAAATATTTTTTTTTTCGGCAGAGCAATATGTTATTAAATAAAAAATATTAATATATGCATAGTAAAATTAATCGAACATATTTCATTTCTTATTGTGATAGATATATTGTCCCAGGATTACCATGATTTTCAGGGTAAAATCGAAGAGAAAATTCTTTCTGTGTATATAGATTTTTAATACATCTTTACGCGTGAAGCGATTCGTAGCGATGGATTTGAATCGTGAGATCTGTAATCGAAATTGGCCTCACCACGGACTATGATCTTCTTAGAATCGTCCCGGCTGGAGCATCTCGAGAGACCGCTGTTGCCCGTCAGCGGATCGTTACCCTTGTCCGCCCGGACGAGCTCGTTGAGGAAGTTTATGTAACCGATCGCCAGCTTCAGCGTGTCGACCTTCGACAGTCTCTTCTCGTACGGTAGGGTCGGTATATGGGCCCTCAGGCCCTCGAAAGCATCGTTTATATTTTGCATGCGCCTTCGCTCTCTCATATTCGCCGCTTGTCGCTGCTGAACCTGCACCTGTCTCGGGCATTTTCCCGATGCACCGCTGCGTCGACTACCTCGACTACTTCGTCTACGAAAAATTATCCGTTCTATTTCTAATCCTATAATTTATATTTAATTTATTTATATATGTGTGATGTCTCTCTCAAAAAATTTCCAATACGATCGGAAATCGCTGGGTTTAACTCTTCTGTCAATGATTGGTAAAGTAAAAAAATGTTAAAAGTATGTCGGAATTTTTCTTCGCTTCAAATAGAGTACAAAGGACCTTTGTACATTCGGAAACTTAAAATTTAAAATAAACAAATTGTCGCGATTGGTATCCCATCGATAGAAAAATGATTTAACAGAACTGTCAAACGAGATGACTATCAAAGCTACAAGAATTGCCTCTCCAATTCATTGAAAATTCGAGAGGCTAATTCGCGGGCATTTTCTCTGCCCGAAATAAAATACAAAGGATCTTTGTATATTCGGAAACTTAAAATAAAAAATTGTCGCGATTGGTATCCGGGTACCTATTGATAGAAAAATAATTTGACAGAAATGTCAAGCGAAGTGACTGTCAAAACTACAAGAATCGTCTCTCCAAATCATCGAAAAAATTCGAGAGCATTTTCTCTGCCCGAAATAAAATACAAAGGACCTTATATATTCAGAAACCTAAGATAAAAAAATTGTCGCGGTTGGAAAAATAATTTGACAAAAGTGTCAAGCGAGGTGACTGTCAAAGCTACAAGAATCGCCTCTCGAATTCATCGAAAAAATTCGAGAAGCTAATTCAGAGGCATTTTCTCTGTCCGAAATAAAATACAAAGGACCTTATATATTCGGAAACCTAAAATAAAAAAATTGTCGCGGTTGCAAAAATAATTTAACACAAGTGTCAAGCGAGGTGACTGTCAAAGCTACAAGAATCGCCTCTCGAATTCATCGAAAAAATTCGAGAGGCTAATTCGAGGCATTTTCTCTGTCCGAAATAAAATACAAAGGACCTTGTATATTCGGAAACCTAAAATAAAAAAATTGTCGCGGTTGCAAAAATAATTTAACACAAGTGTCAAGCGAGATGACTGTCAAAAGCTACAAGAATCGCCTCTCGAATTCATCGAAAAAATTCGAGAGGCTAATTCCGAGGCATTTTCTCTGCTCGATCTAAAATACAAAGGACCTTTATACATTCGGAAACCTAAAATAAAAAAATTGTCGCGGTTGGAAAAATAATTTGACAGAAGTGTCAAGCAAGGTGAACTGTCAAAGCTACAAGAATCGCCTCTCCAGATTCTAGAAAACCTAATGAGAGAAGCATCATCATCATCATCATCCTCTGGGATACTCACTCCCTCGTGTGATTCTCCTGGTCGCTGCTGTAAACGCTCTCGTTGTCGCTGCTGTTCTCGTCGTACAGGTAGTGCTCGCTACCACTGGTGCTGCCGGTGCTACCGGAGGGATGATGAGACGACGGCAGCTGCGAAGGAATGACAGCCGGAAGTGTCGCCGTCGTCGGCACCCCACAATGCGGCGGCAATGCCGGGATCGCCGGGTTCCCCAGGAAGCTATGCGCTTCGTACATGTAATGCCGGTTCATCATGTCCCGCTCAAGATTGTCCATTGAATACATGATGATGATGATGATGGGGTTCAGTAATCGCTCGAATTTTAGCTTACAATTGTATTATTTACAACACTTTTTTACGAAGAGTCCAGATCAAATTAATTAATGAAAGGGATATGACTAGATTTCTGACTAGACGTAGACGAAGCTGGCTGCTCACGTCATTCGGATCCTCGCGTTAAGCATTTTCGATTGCGATAATTGGATTCGGAATCCCCTTGAGAATTACATATCGTGTATCTCGCTGGAATTTCGAATCGCGCTTATAAGCACTCGATCACGTCTCGAGGATCGAGAGATAGGATCGACACGTGTCTGGACGCGTGCAGGATAATATTTCTAAACACCACGGCACGTGCCTTGGCGAATCGTTTCTGGCACGTGTCGAGATTTGTCGTGACACTTGTTAATCGTTCGTTTAAAATGCCTTGGCTCGCATCCAGCCACTTACGACTTCGAAATAAAGATATTCGGACTTGCATCACTTCGCCGATCGCGCGTCGCAGACATTTCTTCGCAAATCACTTGCAAACACTCTCTCTCTCAGCAATGCTTCTTTGAAAATAATATTTTTATTACACTTTTTTATATTTTCAGATTTTTTCATACTTTTCACAGATCCTTATTTCATCCATTTATTGAACGTATTAATTGTATCGGTTTAAGGAGTTCAGGATTTTTTTGCGTCACTTTTTTTATTAATTATTATATCATTTATTGAGCAGATTGCTTTATCTAGTTTTTTATTAATATATTGCGTTTACGCGAGATTGCGAGGAAAAACTTTAACATGATATCTTTTTAGAAATTTTTCGTCAAATGTTTTATGATGCAGGAATGGATTCTTTCATGTATCAAATCAAGATAACATTTTTTAATTATATCCTGTTTTTTATGATTTTTAACAAAGCGTCAGCCTTTAAATATCACCATTGCGTGTTTAACTATTTTTTTCATTATATAAATTTATCCAATTCTCGAATGTCGTTCAGAATGTCATCCTTCAATTCTCAGATTGCATTTTACAATTGCACCGATCGAATTTATTTATTACATAAATTATTCTGATTGTGCATCGTGTTTGTAATTCTTCAAAAATATATTACTGACAAAATTTATTAAATTTATAAATATTCATTAGAATGTAAATCTCTTGTCTGACTTCACTTTTCACTCGATGATAAAATTTGCTCACTTATTTTTTCAAGCTTTCCCCATTATACTCAAGTGTCACAACTGTCGTCCGCAATATTTCTTCCAAAAGAGAACACACTATTTCGCGCAATTTGGACAGTCTTGGAACACTCTTCAGGTCGTTTTTCAGCGAGGAAGTCGAGACCTCTCGCAGACCGACCGACCACCTATCGTGTTCCGGTCGCTCAGGTGGTCTCTCGTTGCACTAAAATCGAAAAGCGGCAAAGCGGAAGCCATGCCGGGGTTGAAAGCCCAGCTACAACCCCATTCGTTGAACGCTCGGCTGGCAGAGCCTGCCTACCCCTTGGTTGCTGGGGTAGCGGCGCCGCCTCTTCATCGATCTGATAAGGAACCGCTGTCGTTCTCGTTCCTAGATACCGTTATGGAACATTGGCCGCGAAAAATCGCGGCCCGCGGCCAATCGAAGCGTACAAAATTTTATCGAAAATAAAGAGAGATGTCCCTTTTGAAACTAACAATAAGACACCGCTTGTGTCAAAAATATCGAAAAGCTGCTTCGAAAAAAAATCAGGCGCGTATCCCATTTAAATAAAAGTAATATTATTTTGGGGTAAATGCATTTAAAGATCTCTCTCGTTCCTATAGGTACCAAAAATATCGAAGAGCTGCTCCGAAAAAAAATCAGGCGCTTATCCCATTTAAATAAAAGTAATATTATTTTGGGGTAAATGCATTTAAAGATCTCTCTCGTTCCTATAGGTACCAAAAATATTGAAGAGCTGCTCCGAAAAAAATCAGGCGCTTATCCCATTTAAATAAAAGTAATATTATTTTGGGGTAAATGCATTTAAAGATCTCTCTCGTTTCTAAAGGTACCAAAAATATCGAAGAGCTGCTCCGAAAAAAATTCAGACGCATCTCGATTTAAATAAAAATATTATTTTGGGGTAAATATATTCAAAGATTTAAATTGTGCAAAAATTGAGTATTTAATAAAGTCGCAGAACTTTATTAAATATGTGATAAAATTATATTTCTCATTTATTGACAATTAGAAAGTATTATCTGAAAATAAAGATATGTGTCAGCAATCAAATATTTAGAAATTTAATTGAAGAATCTTCGGAAATGTATGACGAGTATAACTTATTCATGTATGTTCACGTGTGAATACCTATTTCATTGAGAAACCAATCGGTTGTATAACGTATTAAAAACCTTGAGAGACTTTACGTTCGCAACTTCTCAGACAGTAAGTTAATCGAGTCAAGTAAATACATACATAAATATTTTGCAAAAGAGCAAATTTGCTAAGTCTTCTTTCATCATTTAAGGACGCATTCCTTTCAAACTTGTAAAAAAATAATTAAAAAGATATATATATATATCTAATCAAACAGTAACAGTTCGTTCTAGTGGTATTTCACAGACATTTATCTATCGAAACTGCATTAAATTAATAATACGCAGTACATAATATAGTCGCTTGGCATTTTTCGCAGAAAGTTTTGATCGTCATCGAATGCATGTTATTCGTTATTTGCGAACTTGCCTAATCATAGGTTTCGCATGCTCTCGCCAAACCTATAGAATTTTCAAGTACAGTCTATAGCTGCTTCATGAATACGTAATTGTCTGACGGATGCGAGCGAAAGTCCATCGCAGCAAAGAATATCGGTTATAAACCGGCAAGAGAAAAAAAAACCTGCGATGTAAAATAACGAAGCATTTAAATATTATTTTTTCTTGCACTCGTATATAGCCACATTTTTCTGTCATGTTCTTCATATTATAAATTTACTCCAAAATGCGTAATATATTATGTACATAGAAATACATAAAAAAAATATTATATATTAAAATATATAATATTATTATTATAATTAATATGATATATTATTATTATGTAATATATATAATATATATATTGCGTTAACCGGCGAGAGAAAAAGAAAACCTGCGATGTAAAATAACGAAGCATATTAATATTATTTTTTTCTTGAACTCGTATATAGCCACATTTTTCTGTCATGTTCTTCATATTATAAATTTACTCCAAAATGCTTAATATATTATGTACATAGAAATACATAAAAAAAATATTATATATTATAATATATTATATTATTATTATAATTAATATGATATATTATTATTATGTATATATATATATATATATATATATATATATTGCGTTAACAATGTAAAATATGTAATAAAGATGTGTAAAATATTTCTGTACATCGCTCTTGAAGCTTAATCGATGCTTCGTCCTGCCACTTTAATTGTTATCTCTATAAATTGCGCAAACAGCGAAGAGTGCATCGCCAGGAATCACGGATAAGTCGTAATAAAAAAGAAATTGGTCGCACGTGACTTGCACGTGCGACCACAACATCGCGCAAAGGGTTGGGGTTAACCGCTTCGGCGACATTTGGCCCTCTCGGGCAAGCCTGTAATTATGCGAGTCGTAACAGGTACTGATCTGATTTCTCCACCGCGTTATTATTATAGAAACGCAAGATAATTATATTTAATAATATCCTGCGAGAACGCCGGCAATATGTTGTCTTTGCCGGATGTACGCGTCTAAACCGGATAATAAACTTCGAATGTAGAAAATAAATTGCATGTCGCATACACGAAGAGGAGTGTCATCTGTTTTGTATTCAATTGATGAAAAATTGTCGACTATTATCATAAGGAGTATTTAAATGAAAAATAAAATATTTTTAATTCTTTATAAAGAATTAAATTTAAAAATATTCATTGTTCGAATAATAAATATATAATTTTTGTAGAACGTAAGATTGATCTCAGTCAATCTTTCTTATGACAATAATAATCAATGCGAATAATATAATTATGAAAATTTTTTTTTCTACAATAATGATAATATAATATTACGTTTATGAATATAATCATATTTTCTCTTAAAATATCTTTCTGAAATTCTTCTTAAAATATATTCAATATTCGTGACAACATATTAATAATTAAAGCTTAAATTGAAGCCCAAATAAATTTAAGGAAGACGTTTTCTTTGATAATGCCGACAAACTAATAAACTAAGCTTCGTTACAAATATTCGTTTTCGGATCTCGTCCATTATATTTCGATAATTAGCGGCCCTAAATTATGAGGCGAGGGTACGTCGGAACCGGATGAATTATAGGTCCATCTGCGATGCTTCTTCGGAAAGAATCCGGAAAACGGCGCGTTATATTTCCCACGGTTGTAATTAAAAACCCCCTCTAGTCCAAAATTGCATCGCAAATGTTTTTCACGTATTACATTTATATTAATATATAATGAAAATATTTACATAATTTATTGCAATTACATTGATAATCTAATAATCCTTCCGAAAGACCGATTAATTCGGATTTATTTAAATTACATCGTTTCGAAAAGAATTCCCTCATTGCAAATCCGCGATGAATATACGATTATAAAAATATTGGTATAAATTTTTCCATATCTTTCTGCGAGAAACTTATTAATATAGTATTTTATTTAAAATCGAGCGCGTTATTCGTAAAATAAAACACAAGAGGCAGATTTTTATATTGTTTTATATATATCTGCCGATCGAGTTTTCAACAGGCCGCAGCTTGTTTCGCTGTATAATCCGAAATGAAAATACTGCGTCGGGACAGGTCCATTGTGCCGCAGTATTTTTGATCCTCGAGATCGAGAGATAACCGAAGGGATCTCGGATTTAAATCGGCAAAGCCTACGGCCACGTGTGCGCGCTTAAATGCGATTCCGGAGGGTCCGGATTTGCTCGATCGCGGCTTCGCAATCGGATAAATATTATCTCTACTCTGCGTCCGAAAAATCTGCCATCGTCGATCGTGATGTAAAAAGGTATAACGAAGCGTCTTAAGCACACACACACACACAGAAAAATATCATTCTATTACTAAGAAAGCTAATTATATTCATTTTACTTTCCTTATTTTATAAGGATAAAATATATTTAATAAACTCATCATAAATATTAGAAATACTTATTACATATATTATTATAAAAAAAAAATATTATCAACTTTTATCAAAGAATAAGTCAGATGAAAATAAAACAAATAGAATATTTGTTTTAATTTCATATTTTTCATTGAAGTATCAAACTTATTAGCATTAAGAACATATTTTAAATAAACTTGGATGCTTATGATGAACTTATTATATATTTACGGATATATGAATATACAGTATGTGTTTTTCTGTGTGCAGAGAGCGGATAATTTGGAAATTTAAAGCTCGAGTGACAATTAAAAAAATTTGCATCTGTTCCCTTTCACGGTTTTCCTTTCAGAATTCAATCGTGAAAGATTCCGGACGAACCGCGCTGTGGATAAAGCGATTTTTCACGGTGCATCCTGACAGGAGAAAACACGGCTAACACCTGGTACACGGAATATCCCGCTACGTCTATCGAAACGCAATCGTAAGTGTCTATTAATTTATACTCAGCGGGAGTGTGAAATCGATTTACGTTTATAAATTGCGGCGAGGGACACACATTTTGGACTATAATTTTCCGTGAGATCATTAATCTTATCGACCATACTCGAATTATATTTTTTTCAAACATATATCGTAACAACATGATAATGAATTATTCACATTAATAGTCCATTTCCCACATTAGTTAGATAAATTATTAAATTATTATACAATAAATCATTTTAACATAAAACAATTTTGTTTAAGGATAAATCTTATTTTTTAAGGATAATTCATCATATTAAAATTCGTGAAAAAAAAAAAAAATATTGTATAGTAAAGATATATACACAGGGTTGGGTAATAACTAATTAATTAGTTAAAAGTTAAAAAGTTAATAACTTTTAACTTAGCTAAGTTAATTTAAAATGTATTAGTTTTTAACTTCAACTAGTTATTTTTGACCTTAAACTTATTAACTTTTTTCCTAACAATAAGTTAAATTTTCTTTATGTCTGAATACCATTATTGTTTTTTATAAGTTATATAAACGTATTATTTTTAAATAAAAGTATTATTAATTTTTATATTCATTTGTCATCAATTGTAATTACCAAAAAAACTATATAAAAATCAAAATTTCTTCGTTATTTGTTATTATATATTTTAAAAGAATTAACGAACCAAATTCTAATTTAATATAAATATTATTTTTAAAAATTAACTTTTGATTTAACTTCAGTTAATTTAATCTTAACTTAAATAAACTGACAAGTTAATTTTTTGTTCCTAAAACTTTTAACTAAACTAAATATTAAGTAATTTTACGAGCAACTAACTTTAACTTAACTTTGTTTAAAAAAATCATTAACTTACCCAACCCTGTGTATAAGTACATATTAATAATTATTTTATTGCATTTGTTGGAATGCAAAAATTTTGATAGATAAGACGAAGTGGATGCAAAATGTCTAAAATAGGGAAATAGCGACGATCAAAGCTCTCTGTTCCCTCTAGCACAATGACGAGCCGCAGTAACAAATCGATTGCACGGATGACACACACGCATATATATACACATATTGTACACACTCTATCGAGGGAAGCAGAAAAACTGGGAAAGGCGGTGCATTGGAGCGTGGAGTGTTTTGGGGTCCCGTGCCCTTTTTACGGGGGTCGCGCGAGGACACCGCAGGGGGTAACATCCCTAGATACCGGAAACTGTTAGGCGGCACCGGATACGGGAGGCGCATTATTAGACAGGTGGCTGGGACTCTGTACACGAAAGCTCGATGACTAGGATAATTTTTTGTCAATCAAGTATAAAAATGGAATAGAGAACAAACCGTAAAAAAAAAGAATAAAAAAGATATATAATTTGTATGATATTTTAAATTATAATAATTAAATAATAATATTTATATTATGTATAATTTGAATTCGTCAATACTATTATAAAATTTTTTAGCAGGTTTGACGTTTATCGTGTTATGCCGATAAAATTCACGAATGTTACGTAAAAATAAAATATTCGTGCAGATGTGACTAGGATAATTTTTTTATCAAGTATAAAAATAAAATAGAGAAAAAACCTTAAAAAAAGAATAAAAAAGATATATAATTTGTATGATATTTTAAATTATAATAATTAAATAATAATAATTATATTATGTATAATTTTAATTCGTCAATACTATTTTCATAAGGGATATATAAAATTTTCTAGCAGGTTTGACGTTTATCGTGTTATGCCGATAAAATTCACGAATGTTACGTAAAAATAAAATATTCGTGCAGATGTGACAATCGAATGTTCTATTCATGTATCTGCGTCGAGATAATTGTCAAGATAGGTTTATCATCGTTTGTCAATGAGAAACATCTCGTTAAACGCTATTCAAAGCTCGCACGCATATGAGATATAATCTATGCATTAACTTTCTTGATTTTTGCGACTGCTCATGCTTAGCTAGTAGTAATTTGATGTTTTTATTCGTGAAATTATAACGCGCGCGTTGTATAAGAGCTGTAATATCTTCGATCGACAGATGCACCGTACACGTGTACGATGTGTTAATTGTCGATCCACGTCATGCTCGTAATGACAAATCGCATTTAACCCTCGTTAAGATCACGTTTAACTGTAACGATAAATATAGAAAAAGATACCGTAAAATTGCGCATATATTTATTGTTAATAAAAAGTGCGCACAATCCTAATCTTAGAATTATAATATTTAAAAATTTTGTTTTTATTTCTAAAAATGTTCAAAGGGCCTCGTACATTTTATAGGAAAAGATCGCTCCGATCAATTCGGCTGAAATTGAAATATGTTGTAGTTTAGATGATGCTGCTTAAAAGTTTTCTGAGGCAAAAACGCCAAAAATCAAAAGTATAAAAATACGATGGCTTTTTTAAAGTAAGTTTATTTGGAGTTTAAAAATTGTATTTTTATATATAAACCTTTTATATATGTTAATTTATAAATGTATAAAAATATACATATATATAAATATTTATATATGTATATACGTTTATATATATTTATATTTTTTCATACATTTATGTATTAACTTAATATATATATGTATGTTTAAAAATGTATTTTTAAATTCCAATTGCATTTACTTTAAAAAAGCTACTGTATCTTTTTTTTATACTTTTGAAACTTTTTATACTTTTATACTTTTCAACATCGCCTATACTATAACATATTTCAATTTCAGCCAATTTGATCGTTTTTTCTTATAAAGTGTGTGGAGTCCTTTCTAAAAATATTTAAAAATACAGCGTAATAGCGTTTAATCAACTGCATAAATTATCACACAAAAAATAAGCCTTTTAGATAGTGTAATAAATGATCATTGTATAAAATATCTAACAATAAGTCTAAATGTATAAAGATGCAAAATCGAAATTCTTTATTATTATATATCGTCAGTATTGCATAAGAATTCTTTAATTATATATATTTTTAATATTATGTAATTATTTATCTTTGATAATAAATGGTGAAATGTCGCTTTTAAGATTAGCGTTGTATTAAGAAAAATCAAGAAATAAAAAAGTATGAATTTCGACTATTGCGAAAAAAATGATAATCTATGTTTCTCGTTTGTTTTGCAAATTTCTCTCGAACAAAGTAAAAATTTTAAATAGTTATGTAACGATAATAAATAATATAATTTTCTTGTGCAGATATAAAGATATTTATTCTTTATATTTTAAATGTAGACTATTAGATTTAACCCTTTTTAAGAATGTGTTGAATCAATCACAAATTTTTATTAAGATTAATGATTAATTAAATAATTTGTAACAAAGTATTAACAAAACTATATATACTATATATAAGCCGCAAAAAACAAATCAAATACTATATATTAACAACTAAGATTAAATTACTATATATTAATTACAAGGCTAATTTAAGACAGTTAATTTTGATTGCAGAAAATGTAGCGATTTAGACATATCGAATTAATTCAGAAAAATTATCCGCGACAAAATGAAAATGTAAAACGCATCATTCGATGCATTATTATTCGTTGTTTTTTTCTTTATGTTGCACTTATACGATATTAATTTCTCTCACGAAAACACGGTTAATCACTTGCAAGTCGTTAATCAATAATTATATAATAAAATAAATAAAGATAGGAAATAATCGCATTTCTTCGAAAAATAATTCGATGATATACGAAAAGCAGCTGAATCTTGCACGAAAATGATAACAAGGATATAAACACATGCTTGATAATAATTAATAATACGCCAAAGAGGCCAAATATCGTGATAGTTATTTGTTTTCGTTACAAAATATTTCACATTTCATAATATAAAAAAATCAGGCAAAATATTTTTTGTAATTTATATATATCAAATTAAATTTGATGAGATGATATATTAAATCGCAATTCAAGATTAATTTCAAGAATATATGTTTCTAATTATTTCGATCAAGAAATTACTTATTCTTGTATACTTAATAATATATAATGATATATAATTTGCCTTGTTGCTAATTGTAAGCATAATTATAGGCATTATATTGTTTATTGACATAAACATTGCTTAAAAGAATAACCTACAAGAGTATAAAAATATCAAATTAATTTTTACTTTGTTCCGCCTGTTTCTCCCACCAATTTCTTCCGTCAATTTCTTCCGCCAGTGTTCCTTCCACAACATTTCACGAGTTTGCAAGTTTTAATTAATCTTTGTACACGAAATATATTAATTATCGCGTACAGAGAGCGACGCGCGCGACCCGTCTCCATCGTCGTTTACGTTCGAGTCTCGACGCGGCGCGGCGTGACGTCACGATACCTCGCAGATCGATACCTCGCAAATCGATACCTCGCAGATCGATATCTCGCAAATCGATACTCGCAGATCGATACCTCGCAGATCGATATCTCGCAGATCGATATCTCGCAAATCGATATCTCGCGACCACGTGACCACGTTGCGACGCGTCACCCATCCTGTCTCGTGTCGACAGTGTCGACACACGCGCGAGCCTCGTCGGGGGAGACTATATATTTTTGCTGAGCTGGGGCCCCCCCTTGTTTACATCCGGAGGATCCGCGAATCGCGTAGCCGCCCGTCCCTCGTCGCTATTCAATTCGCTTTCGCATTATTTTTCCCTCCTCGAAAATCTTTGCCGATAAACGACGAGAAAGAAAGAGAGAAGAGAGAGAGAGAGAGTAAAAAAAGAGAGAGGCCGGATCTCTCGTTGTGTCGGCAGACTGCGTATTCATTCACTCTCTTGGGACTCCGTCTCGCGAGCAGCAAGTATGAAGGTGACGGTGACGACGCTCAGCGACGACAGCGTCTTCGTCCTTGACGTGAGCGAGGAGCTGGAGCTGGAGAACTTCAAGGCGTTCTGCGAGATCGAGAGCGGAGTGCCGGCCCACGAGATCGTCATCGCGTTCAACGGGCGGCCGCTCATGGACGACAAGAAGTCGCTGAGGGACCACGGGATCCGCGACGGCGACGCCGTCATCCTGCAGCACATGCATCAGAGCGGCAGCGACCTGAATCTGCAGCCCTTCAACAGAGGTGGGCTGTTTTCTCCGTCCGTATCATCTGGAAATATTAGATATTAATGATAATTATGGAAATAATTGCTAGATATTCATTATAATTATAGAGAAATGATTCTGGACGAAGGGTAAAGGATATCTGTACTTGCCTCTATTTTCATGAATCGTTGCAACGATGATTGTGGCAGCTATCGTTTGTCTTGTTTTCATCGACACAGAAGACTGCAAACCTACTTGTGGTCAAAAGCCTTGAATGTCGAAATCTTGGCCTTTGACTCTAGCTTAATTATGCATACATTTATCCTGTCCTAGCTCTTTCTCTCTGAACGTCACCATAAAGCTTGTTTCGCTATCTCTTTCTACATTTCATGTCTTATACCTGGCATTGCATTTCATTCTGTTACGATGCTATTTTGTGCAACTATAGATCTGTTCTTTTCATCTGAACTGGCTGCACTAGTTCAGAATTGATCTCATTCTTTCCAATGTGGAGTAAAAAAGAAACTCTGAACTAGTGTAGCCAGTTCAGCCAAAAGGAACAGATTATAGCATCTTATAAAAAAATGAACTTACTAAATTCGAAGAAACGTCACTCTAGCCATTCCATTACTGGACTTCAGTTCCATCAGAGTTCCCGATATCAGCAACATTCAACAGCGTCAGCCAATCGCGAATAACAGAGTGCAGAATCCCCGCAGCGAGGATGATCCAGCGATGATAAGGAATATGTTCCTGGCTAATCCAGATCAGCTGGCACTGTTGAAGCAGAATAATCCAAGATTGGCCGACGCTCTGCTGTCAGGAAACCTCGGTAAGCAGTAGCTCTGCAATCACCATAGTATAACATTGTACCTCTTGCACCTGTGGGGTCTAAATATTCGTGTATTATAGATAGATTTTCGACTGTACTCAGAGAGCAGATAGCCGCTCGAGAAGAACGGCAAGCGCAACGGCTGAGAATGATGAACGCGGATCCATTCGACACGGAAGCTCAACGGCTGATCGCCGAAGAGATCAGGCAGAAGAATATCGAGGCGAATATGGAAGCGGCGATGGAGTATAATCCGGAGACCTTCGGCACCGTCGTTATGTTGTATATCAATTGTAAAGTCAACGGATTCCCAGTTAAAGCATTTATTGACTCAGGTAAATCGCCAGCAATCTGTTCACAGAAGAATCAAATGTTGCGTTAATGCGCGCGAAAAATATTGAGATTATTTTTAAACGTCTTTGTTTCGTTGCATCTCGGCGACCGCGGCGTGAGTAGTCTATTTATTTTTAAGTACAACATATATTGATGAAGCATTCTGCATGGCGTGCGGAAAAACAATTTAATTTTAGATCTTACAACTTTTTTGTGATCTTCGTCTGCAAAAAGAGAGAAGCACGAGAGGAAAAGAATTTGTTTTCGATTTAAATATAATCTGATTTCTAAAAATGTTCGCGCGATGAAAGCATTTCGAGATCGAGTCTGCGCTTATTATAATATTGAAAACTCACTTTTGTGACTCAAGGTGCTCAAACTACTATTATGTCAGCCGCTTGTGCCGAGAGATGCCACATTATGCGTCTGGTGGACACAAGGTGGGCCGGGGTCGCCAAGGGCGTTGGAGTTCAACGCATAATCGGTCGTATACACATGGTGCAGATACAAATTGGCAATGATCATCTTACGACGTCGTTTAGCGTCCTCGAGGAACAGCCTATGGACATGCTGCTGGGCTTAGATATGCTTAAGAGACATCAGTGTTGCATAGATTTGAAGAAGAATGTCTTGAAGATTGGTACTACAGGCACTGAAACTTCATTTTTGACGGAAGGTCTGTTTCTTCTTATTCTCTACAATTAATAAAATTTATTCTGAATGTTAATTGATATTAATATTCTAAAGAATGTTGAATTGAGAAATATTAATTATGTTGTTAATTTTATAGGTGATTTACCTGAATGTGCAAGATTAAGCGGGAACAGCGACGAATCCTTAGATGATAGGGATCTCCAACGAGCTCTCGAGGACAGTTCGAGAGATGCGAAGAAGCAGAGGCAACAACATGGTAAGAATCAAGTCTTACTTCTTCCGTTCATGTAACATCTCTTCTATACATTTCTTTCTTCTATTTTCTTCTGCGAGTAGTTTCCATTTTCAGTATATTTTTATTATTAAGTAAATTAATTATGTAATTTTCTCTCGTATCTTTTCCTTCTGATGCAACTTAAAGTTATATAAATATATATATATATATATATATATGAAGGTTTTGTCGTTATTAAAAACGTACAAAGTTTGATAAGTAGATTTTAACGAAGAAGAGCTACTTTACAATTTGTCAATAATGAATATTTTCATTGAAATATTTCAGACGGACAAGGTAGCAGTAATCAAGGCTCGTCAAGTAGACCGGCAGCTTTAGAAACGACAGTCTATCCACACGATCCGTTCACGGAAGCCACTGTCAAGGAATTGGAGGCTCTGGGTTTTACCAGGGCGCAAGTTATTGCGGAACTGCGGAGATTTAAGGGGGACAAAACGCAAGCTACCGCTGCGTTGTTTGCAAAATCCTTGAAATTCTGAATATCGAAAATTGTCGCACGTGATTCAAATATAACGCAAATCGTTAGTTAGAGACAGATATAGCGAATTTGTGAATATATTATTACACGCAATAAAAATGGAGGGGGCCCACGCTATGTTCAAAGCAATTTTTAAATATCGTTTAAATAACTAAATAAAATGATTCAAAGTCGCGAGAGCTGAATAAAATTGCCGAAACATACAACTTTGCACATTTTCATATATGTGCGTTTATAAGTAAACTGTGCATTATTTCCAATTAATATTTGTAAAATTGATTATATATAAGAGATATCAAATTTTTATGACCTAATACTTATTGATATTGGCTGCGTTCGCTTTGACACTTTCAGTGCTATAAGCATCTTCTATCTTTGTTGCATCGCAGCCATAATTAATTGCAATACATAGATCTGCGATACGCATTGGATTAAGATTCAGTTTGGAAATTATGGTCTTATAAACGCGACATGTATATATCAGCTGCTGGATAGATATAATGAGCGATAAGATTTTTCTACGCATTGCGAAATATATACGTACATACATTTCGCGATATACTTTGTAATATTCCGTTTAAATGGTTAATATGGACAAACTGTATATATCTAGTATTTAGATAGACTTCTAGATAAATCTCGAACATGAAAAATGTGGGATAGACAGAATCCTCACGTGAGAACTTTATGCTGTTTGGTAATGTTTCAAAGACTCGTATTTGACGTTGGACACGGCTCAAACTCAGTTCCTCATTCTTTACTGAAGAAACGCCGGCTGTACATACATAACATAATAATGACAGGCGAATAAGGTGTTTTCCATTTTTTTACAAGCTATTGTTACAATAGGAGTTATGAAAAAGCGAAAAGTACGTAGAGACGTCGCATCGATCTTACAGACAATATCCATTTTGTATTGCTATTTTCTTTTTCGACATGGTAATTGGTACATATTATTATGCAATTCCTTTGCTATTTATATATATAAAAAACGTGAATTATATGCGGCTTGATTTATTTGTTATCGGTTAAACAACTCACTAATTTAGCACATAAGTTCTAATTATAAAGTATAATCAATATTATACAAAACTTGTGCGAATTAATATATTTTGAAAAGCACGCAATTTTTTTCTCCATTGTCCTAATAAAAAAACCAAAGGAAAAATTTGTTACTGTTTGTTATAAGATATTATAATTTAGTAACAAATAATACTTTTCAACGGAAATAAATTTTTTTTCATCTGTAATAAATTCACATTTATTGTTAGTATAATATTTATTACACATCCGCACTCTTGTTTTTTCTAGGCTCTATACATTTAATTTTGCGTAAAACTTATTGAATGTGAAACTAATAAAAAAATCAATGTTTTTTTTTATTAATAATGAAGATTATAATTCTCAATTTTATATTATATTTTATATAATCATCATTTTTAATAGCATTTAATACATGTTAATTCGAAATGTCATGTCGTATTCTTTTTATCAGTTACATATACGTATACAGTAAACATTCTTTTAAGATGTACGTAAAATTCTACGTATCGACCAGTCTCGTCGAAGTCTCTCATTGAACATCGGGCAATTCACCCTTCGCCCAGTTCAGCTCCACGACTTTTCCTTTACGAGCAGCTTCTTCGATCGCTGTAGCGACCTTGCTCACCGCCAGGATTTCCTTCGAGTGGACCTTTGATTTGGCCTTACCGTGGGCTATGTCGACGAAGTGATCGAATTCGATTCGGTAGCCGTTCATGAATCGGCTGGCGAACGAGTACCAGATCGGAGCGGTGGTCGACCCCTGAAGGTCGTATCGCCGACGAACGGAGTTCGGCTGCTCGTTCTGGGCCTCCACGACGCCTTTCGGACCAAACACTTCTAGTCGTTGATCGTACCCGTAGGAGCTGTTGCGCGACAGATCAATCATGCCGACAGTACCTGAGGGAAAGTGCATGACTACCGCGACCGTGTCGAAGTCGTCGATCGCCTTGATCTCGGGGATGTTCGCATCAGCCAGCGCCGAAACCTGAAATCACATCATTATCAGTCTCATCATATTGTTGCAAAATTGACTATTTATTTTATTATTTTTCTACATATTTTCTGAAGTAACTTTTTTTTTTAAATTAGCGAGAAATTTTCTTCTTTTTAAATTACATAAATTAAGCAAAATAAAAATATTTCTGCAAAATAAGGCTTTTCTGGAAATCACCCAGCAAACACAGTATATAAATGTTATATACTTAAGCATGTTACATGTAACGTATATGTTAGTTGTAATTTTTCCCACACTCATAGATGTAACATTTTTAATATTACATATATTACATTGTAGTTATATTGTCATTATATCCCAAGATAGCACTGACTTATCAATATACATCAATGTGCTATTTGGTATATAATTACAATATAACTACAATGTAATATATGTTATATTAAAATGTTACATCTATGAGTGGGAAATTACAACTAACATGGATGTTACATGTAACGTACACGTTATATTACCTGTTATATTCCGTTTTATTATAGCAATGTAACAATTATATATCAGTGTTTGCTGGGGTAATTCATGAAATGTTTTTAGACATGTATAAAAGTGAAAAGGCACCTTGTCTGGATACTCTCCGAGAACCCAGGTGATCATGTCGATATCGTGAACCAAGCAATCGTGGAAGATACCACCGGAGTGTTTCAGGTAGTCTATAGTAGGCAGAGGAGAATCCCGCGAGACCGTCTTGATCATGTGAACGTGTCCGACTTCGCCTCTTCGAACTCGGTCTCGCACCTCCGAGTAGCTAGGATCAAATCGCCGATTGAACGCGCAAAACAGCGGGGTGCCTTCTTTCTCAGCTATCTCGTAACACTTGACAGTGTCCGCCCGATTTTCCGCTATAGGCTTCTCGCAGAAGACCGCCTTCTTCGCCTTCAGGGCCTTGATCACGATGTCCTCGTGCGTGTAAGTCGGCGACGCCACGACAACCGCATCGATACTGTGCAAATGATGAAATTCCAGAATTAGAATAATATTTATATCCGCAAATTTATAATATTTTTAGACTATTAATATGATAAATGATATAATAATAAATAATATGACTAATATAATGTGATAAAAAATTATTTTATTTTCTGTAAGTATTTTTTAATATACTTTTCATGTATATTTCATATATATTCAGCAGATTTATTTAAAAATATACATTAATAAAAATATAAAAATTAGTCGTTGACACAGAGGTCGTTGTAACACTTTTTTTAATGGGTTTATGGATTTAATTTTTTATTAATGTACAATTATATATATATATATATATATATATATATATATATATATAATTTTAATAGAATTACTTACTTGGGATCTTTGAATACTTTGTCGGATTGCTTGCTATTCAGGAAGCTAACATTCTTTAGATTCCAGTATTTACGCATACTTGGCCAATTGCTCTCGACATCATCTATGATATATACGAGCTCGACACGTGAATTAGAAATTATAGACGCTAAATGTATCGTTCCAGCTCTGCCTACACCGAAGAGGGCCACTTTGAGTATCGGATCATTTCGGGAATCGGTCTTCAACGCCATATCTTCCATGTTTCTGAAATGCATTTTTATTACGTTAATAAAAGCAAGAAGATAATCTTAAAAATTTATATCCAATATAAACTCTGATATATAAATCTATAATTATAGGTATGAAAAGAAATGCGGATTTATACACGTAGATTTTTTTATTAATCGATATGCTGAGGACGATTCAAAGGCAAAACCGAAATTCAAAATTCTATACTAATGGAGAAATTTTAAAATAACTTTGTTGCACCCAATATTTGTACTTAAAAAGTTTTTAAAATACTTGTTCAAAATATATTCGATGAGATATAAATCAAATTAGATTGCCTACTTGTTATAGAGATAATCTTCCTCAGGTGGTGAAGGTTTCGGCTTGACGTAGGGAGATGTTGCCTTGAATTTTGCAGTTGCCATTTTGTCACGATTTTTTATATTCTACGCCAAGTAAAATTACTTCTAAAATCTTTCCCAATTCGAGACCGATTCGTCCAATGATGTCCGGCTAGCTTCTTATATATGCGAAGAGATATAAAGAATAGAAGTGGGGGCTGGCTAATATGACGTATATTATTCACAAATCTAACACTGGGGGTTTATTAAAACCTAACCATCTAGGTTTTAATAAACAAGATATATTTTTAATCTTTTGAGATAAACATCATAGTGTCTCAATAAATAATGCATAATTATTTTATTAAATAGATCTATATTTAATTGAATCATTTCGAATCACTCCGAATTGCTACTCCTATAATTTTTCTAGATTTTAATTCCCTTCTATTTTTAACGATCGATGTTTTTAATATAAATTTCAAACGATCTAGTCGACATACAAAAAAATAATTCACATGATTCTCTGTTGCAACACATATTATCGAATCATTAATTATGTAAGTTCGACACATATTATTATATTTTTAAATATGCTTTGTACATGTTTCAATTTATTTTTCTTCTTTAATTTGATGAAGAGAACTAATTATTAATTTCTCTTCCTCAAAAAATAATTTAATTATTTATATTAAAATATAGTAAAGTATGATTTATCTGATTCTTTTTCATATTATTATATTTTTAAATATGCTTTGTACATGTTTCAATTTTTTTTTTTAATTTGATGAAGAGAACTAATAAATTAATTTCTTTTCCTCAAAAAATATTTAATTATTTATATTAAAATATAGTAAAGTATGATTTATCTGATTCTTTTTCATATTATTATATTTTTAAATATGCTTTGTACATGTTTCAATTTATTATTTTTTTTTTTAATTTGATGAAGAGAACTAATTATTAATTTCTCTTCCTCAACAAATAATTTAATTATTTATATTAAAATATAGTAAAGTATGATTTATCTGATTCTTTTTCATTCATTAAAATATATTTTTAGCTTTATTATAGCTAGTGCCGAAAAGAATCAGCTGTTTCATTAGCCTGCTTTTTCAAACATTTTTTACGCTATTTTTGTTTATTCATTATTAACATCTTAGCATATTAGTCGCTGCTGAATAGAGGCACGTAATATCGGTTGCAAGTAAAGTTTCCAGACAGTTCTACCCGTTCATTAAATTCATTTACGAGGTACAATCACCCGAGAGCCGAGTAGAACTAGAGAGAAAGAGAGATGAGATTCGTTCCACAAAGAAGACTTTAATTGTCTCTTGTATCCGCCTAGGTTCGACCATGTCTCGACTACAATATAATGCGGTTCATATATTTATGATGTATTATTACGAAATGAAATTGCGGTTTCGCGTTCCTCTACACAATCACCGATACCGCTTCATTTCTTGCATAGTTATCATCAGCGACCTATAACTCACCAAACGTACTGTTACCGATTTCGTTTGCTTTTAAAAGTTCAGCGACGTCTTGGAAGAATTGCAAATTATAAATTCAGCGACGTATATCAAAATATTCGCAGTAATTGCAAAGCTACTACAAAGTAATTACATATCGATTAATGCTGAATAATGCTGTCAATTATGAAATAATATGATAAACTGATGTAAATTTCCATTGCCATCTTCGCTCAAAGGCTAGGGATTATCTTTGAATTATCAGGTCGTATGTTATGAAGCAAAAATAAATCATAAAAAGTGCCGCGTATATATACATATGCATCGCACACACTTTTACATTGTACACAAATTAAAGATCAATGAACGATTGCATTATGTGTTATGAAATGAGATATCTGCACTCGAACGGATTAAATAATTTATTCAAACAACAAACAATGTAATAAATAACAGCGATATCTAGAGAGCCAGAATGCTGAATCATCTCATAGATGACGATTCAGTCATCAGTCAAGTCATCGTGGCAAGACGTGGCAAGACCCAGCGATATCCAAATGGGTGTTCTTATCCTGGAATCAATTCGGAGACGTGTTTTTATTTTTTGTGACAACGATCACGTTCAGCGAGTTAAATAATTTTTGGGAAAAATATTTTTAACGAGAATCTCGAAATATGGATAATTCTTGTTCCTGCGGCAACTGTTGCGTTCGCTGAATGTGCTCAATGTCAAAGAAACTGTAGAATTTGCGAGAAGACCATCAGATTGTGCCAGCGGAAACTTCACGAACGAAGAAATAAAATTTTCAGTGAAAAATCAATGAAAAAAAATGATGATTATCGGCCGAAAAAACGGAATAAAAAGAGAGCAAAATGTGCGTTTGGTTCTTTATTAAAAGCTAGCACACACTGGTATCTCACAATTCGTCGTTTGTCTTACGATATGCTTTCTGCGGCACGAAAACAACTTCGTCGTCGTAGCTTTCCACGTATGCCGCCCTTTTTCTTCTGTCCCTTCCTGGATCAGCATCGACGAGAGCTATACTCGATCTAGTGGATCTTAAAATAAAAATGTATTATTATTAGATGAAATATTTTATAAACTGTCATCTCAAAGAAATTTTTCCGTTTAATTAATTTTTCTTTTTATAAAAAAATTATTAATCGTAAATTGAATGTCAATAAATTTTGACAAAATAAATTTAATCTTGACAAAATAAAATAAGGTAAAATTAAAGTTTAATATATCAATTACAATTTTTTTTAAATATATTGAGATATTTAATATTAAAATTATCAATAAAAATTAAAAAAGAACGTCGATAAAATTTAAAATTAATCAAAGACTTAAAAGATACATTGAATCTAATTTTTACACGCTCTATGTATGAAATTATAATAAAAACAATACCGTGTCTAACAATAAGAGAATTACGCGGCATAAAGCGTATTTTTTATTAAAACATTTAATAGAAATCTTTTTCATAGATTATAGGATAATAATTGATGATGTTCTTATATTGTATAATTAACTTCGTGTATTGTGAAGAAAATCGATTATATCTCTATTAAGCTTATGAATAATTGAAAACACGCGATAATTACAACACTCTCATATCGAAAGTGAGTTGCATTAATGAGAAAAAATTAGCATTGTAATTATACCTTCTCTTGCTGCCATTTAAATCCGCGGATACCGTCAATTGACGCGGTTTTGAAAAGTCACATTCTAATGTAAAAGCAGCATCACCTGGTGTCAATAGCTCGTCATCGTGTTGGATGACTACGACGTTGCTATATTTTTCTCCGTCCTGATTCCAAATTTAAAAAACTAGGTATTTTATTTATGACATATTTTTTTATCATTCTAAAATATTATGTAAACACAAATAAAACGAGATATTAAAGTATAAAGAAAGGAAGAGAAAACGCTCGAATTTGATTAATTTTAGCAAACGTACGCAATTAAAAAATATTTTCGATTTGTTTAATATCGCGATATTTTTTAGAAAATACTGTATGTATGCTAATATTTTTATCAGTTTCACTATTTACTTAAAATCATGAATAAAAATAAGAGAGAAATCTGAGAAACTAATTATAAAGTGATATAATTAATTTAAAAAAGATGTACTATTGTATCCACTTTCACCGAGTATAAATAACTTTTTATTATAGATTATAGATAATATTATATACATTTCATGTCACATAAAAATAGATGGGTAAATAAAAGAATGTCAACTGTTAAAAAAGCAGTATAAAAAAATTATCGTGAATTTTCTTGATAAATTTAGACGATAGTTTTGCAAGAAGAAATTAAAAAAACGAAAAACGACATTAACTTAAGTGTTACTTGCCCTCTCGGTATCGCATTTGTTCAAAGGGATGTTCATAGTAAAACTTCTGCCCCGAACTGGATCGAGGAAGCAGGATGGTTCTCGGGAGTAAAAATTACCCTGTGTGTAAATCACTCCCGAAAAATCCTCCGTCGTTCTGAATTCCACAGTCATCTTTTCGGCACCGCATCGCAATCCTACGCGATCGTAGCCTTCGACGGATGCACCTATTTGCATGTCTTTAGACAGGTCCTGCTGCCAAATTTCCTCTACAATCAGACAGTCAGATGGTTAAAAAAATATAAATATATATTATATCATTATATATTTTTATATATTTATATTATATATTTTTATATATTTATATATATATATAATAATTTATATATAAATATATAAATTATATTATATAAATAATTTATATATAAATATATATTTATAATTTTTATATTATAAATATTTAAATTTATATATATAATATCTATATATCTATATATATATATATATATATAATTATTCAGGTAGGAAGAGCAGAACTTATATTTTATATCTTTTTTATCAAATTATATATATTTATATAGGATTTATATTAAGTATATATATTTCTATATACAATATATATTTTTTTATAATATACCTAAATAATTATATATGAAATATATAATTATATATAACAACTAAACATTTTTTTAATACAAAATATCGTGTCGAAAAAAGGAATTTATTTCGGAGTAAATCGGTATAAATTTTCTCACCTGCGTATGCCTCGAGCTTGACATGTGCCAGGACGATGAGCAGCAAAATCGCACGCATGATGCAGATAGAAACGGTAAGCTCGAACGAACGACCGTGAACTGACGGTAAATTCAAGTTCGTTCAATGCCGAGGTGCCGTCTGCCGCTTTATTACCTGTCCGCAGTTAAACTCCCCCTTCCGAATCGAATACTTTCACCGCGTAAAGACGCGTGACAGAAAAATAAAGCTAGCCTATTCTCGCCTTTTTTTCTTTTCTCTCTTTACATTTCAGTCATCGTCATTGTACACGCATCATCGATCACAGTCGCGGATCGCTGATTCGTAACTGATGCAGTTCTTCGCGCCGTTTCTTGCAAAATTCTACAAATCGGTCAATTCGATTAAATCCATTTGCGAGAATAATAAACCTCCGCTCTTTTTTCTGCCTTAAAAAAAAAGAGCTCTCGAAATTATTCATTAATGAATCTCTTGTTTTTTTTTTTTTTCATAAAAATTGTTGCGCGCGCTAAAGTGTGCAATACACGTATAATATGCATGTTTACTGATGATTATAAAATTATTTTTTAAAATTAATTTTTATAAATTAAAAATTCTGCATTAATTTTATATTTGATCATATATGACACATAATAAATAATATAATTTTAAAAACAAAAAAGTACGAAAAGAAAAAATATGTACAGTTGCAGATAATTGAATTAAACAAAAGAAAATAAAGTTGGCGAAAGTTAAATAATATTAAAAGAGAATGACAATTCTATATTATTGGAATTAAAAATATGATATGCAATGATAATTAATCGAATAATTGACTGAAAAATGAACTGAATAATTAACCGAATAGCCGATTAATAAGTATAATTTCACGTAGAATAGTCGCATTTCGTGTGTTTAATTAGTATTTAATAATAGCCTACAATTTAATGACATATAACAAGTTTTAAATTCTTCGCGCGAGCTCCGAGAACTTGGCCGGTCAATTTTAACTTTTTTGTGTAACTATAATTATTTTTTATTTATCTAGACGATTTTATCTTTGTTGAAGTCTAGTCTCTTAAAAAAAAAGAAAAAAATTTATAACAATTCGAAAACTAACGCAAATTTATAACTATATTTTTCTTGATTTTTCAAATAAATGTACCGATAATTTAACATCGATTAAAATGTTTTAAAAATAAAATCCGGATTAAAGGAGAAATTAATAAAAGACTAAATCCTTAATGTCTATTATTAAACTCTTGCATGCTTGATACTTATTAATTCGCGCGTTTGGAAGAGAATCAGTAACTTTATCGGCGAGAGTTGGTAAGAGATTGTGACTATATACTTGTCCAGGAAACAGCTTTGATGTCGACCGACACTTAACTACGAGTGCCTGAATCGTCAACATGTCTGCCAGCCGTGTGTCGCAGATTCTCTTCTCACGCGTGTCGCACGCAATCCGAAAGCCGCAGCATCTCATCACGCCTGTCAAATATTACTCCTGTAAGTGCACGTGAGCACAGATTTTTTTCTCTTTCTCTCTAGCCGCCAATTATCGCCAATCAATCGAGATTTAACTGCGCGGACACCCGGTATAATCATTGCGCTATCATTCATCAGATGGAGAACTTGTTTTCGATGTGGCAATGTTCTTTTTTTTTTGTACGCGCACGTATCAATCTGTTGTATTAATATAAATAGCTTGAGATGACTCGTCAAATTGTGTATTTAAATTTTTGTCGAATTATTTTATTATTTTATTAATTTCTGCTATAGATATATATTATATATACGTATATAATTTTCAGAATTAAATTATGCAACTATTTATTTGTGCCATATGCATGCGTAACGTCATTAATTCTTGTACATCAGAAAATATACATGTGACCTATGACTTTAAATTACAATATGAAATCACTTTCATATTTATTTTATGTTAAAAAAAACTTTAGACGTATATGTCATAGCATATATATAGTTTCAGAGTTAATTAGAATTAAATAAAATATTGTTTCATTATTTCTCTGTTAGTTTAAGCGTACAAAAAGATTTTTTAATATTTCTTTAACAAGAAAAATGTTTCAATTTAGATAAAAAATTTTTTAAGGAAAAATTCTATATTAAATATAATATAATTTATTATATTTGTTATGCAATCCATATATATCTGTAAATGATTGCTATTTAGGCACTTAATATTTCATAATTAAATTCGATTATTTTTAGAGAAGACGAAAAAATTCTCTAATAATATATAATGATAGAAGATTCTATTAAATGATAAATCAAAAGAAAGTTCGAGTAATTGTTTTTCAGCACCAAGCATATAAAATTCATCTAGTGTCTTACAAATGATAACTATCGGAAAATAACATCGAGAAACCGCGAATTTTTCTGTTCTCCGAAATATTTTATTTAAAAATGTAGATACTGGAAATAATTTTTATATGCATATTAATTATCCGCATAAAGAATATACGAATTATATATAAACCGAGGTTATTTTATTATATTAATAAACAAACTTGGGCTCTTTATTTTAATAATATTACATGTTCGTGAATTTACAATTACACAATTAAAATTTTCTTATGATAGATGTTATTTACTGCACGTAACTCTGAAACTCTTTATCAATTTAATCAGTGTAAATCTGATGTAAAAAGGAGTAATCTTGTTTGCCCATGCCTATCTATTGCGTAAACACAAACCATATTTATGTTAATTTAAATTTAAATTAAGAAGAATATTTATACAAATAATTCTTTGTATATTCTGCAAATATACTTTTCACGACAGAGATATAAAAAGATTTATCGCGTAAAAATATTAATTCAATACTCATGCCTTATAATTTATTAGAAAAATCACGTAGCTAACTAATTTTCTCACGAATTTTTTATCGTGGAAAAAAATTGTTATAAAAATATATGGCGAATTTTAATTTCTTAAAATAAATAGTATATTTTAAAATCGAATTCACAGCTCAAGTTAACAATTATGAATGCATCAAGACCGAAATTGTGGGTGAAAAGAAGAATGTGGGCCTCATCACCTTGAACAGGCCAAAGGCTTTAAACGCTCTGTGCGAACAATTGATCAATGATATAAGTCATGCTGTGGATCATTTCAATAAAGATAAATCGATCGGTGCCATCGTGATTACCGGAAGCGAAAAGGCGTTCGCTGCTGGTAAGATTATAAATGATGAAAAAAAATTTTATTCTGTGTAAATCTTTCTAATAATATCTCCTATAACTACATCTAATATATTATATATTATATATACATTTTACATATTATATATTATATATTCTATATATATTATGTTATATATATATATATATATATATATATATATATATAATATATTTTTTATATTTTTATATATATTTATTTAATATATTATATATTTTTATATATATTTATTTAATATATCATATATTATATATTTTCTGGAGAGATAAATATATATCTAATTTTTAAAGGTGCCGACATCAAGGAAATGGAAAATAAAACATACGTGTCGAATCTGAAACACGACTTCATAGGTGAGTGGGATAAAATTGGCAAAAGCAAGAAGCCCCTAATTGCTGCTGTAAATGGTTATGCTGTAAGTAGTTGCAGCCTTCCTCTGCAGAACATTCCTAAAATAAATGCGATAAATCATTCGATGACACATGTTCGCTTTATATCACAGCTGGGTGGTGGCAACGAGTTGGCGATGTTATGCGACATTATTTATGCCGGCGATAAGGCCAGATTCAGCCAACCAGAAATTGCATTAGGTACGATTCCCGGAGCAGGTGGTACCCAGAGATTAACCAGAGTCATCGGAAAAAGTAAAGCTATGGAGATGGTGCTTTCCGGTAATATGATTACCGCGGAGGAAGCTGAGAAGACCGGTGAGTTAATTTATTCACAAAAAAATTAGCCATTATAGCTTTTAGCTATCCCTATATTAAACGTGAAATTTAGTTGTCATGCCTAATAATTTTTAGCTAAAATTTAGGCACGATAACTAAAAATTTAAATTGTAATATAGGGGACAGTTAAAATTTAGTTATGGTAGCTAATTTTTTTTTTTTTTCATGTTATAATCAGAATTTTGCATTTAAATATATATGATAATTAATACTATAATATTATAATAATATAAAAAATATTATATAATAATATTATAATAAAAAATATATAAAATCATTTATTCGATGATTCTAAAATTTCTGACAATTCACAAAATCAATCAAGTGAATTCGACAGAGCATATCATCATTATTCTATATATATTATATTCTAAGATTATTCCAATAATTAATTTAAAAAAAACTAATTCTATAATAATTATTTTTTTACTATGACATATATGTATACTTTTATAGATATTCAAGGTTTAAAAAATCTTATTTTATTTTATCTGCCTAGGTCTGGTCAGTAAGGTTTTTCCGAGTGATAAAGTGATCGAAGAAGCGGTGAAGTTGGGTGAAAAAATCGCATCTCATTCGCAAGTCGTTGTTTTACTAGCCAAACAGGCTGTTAATTCAGGTAATTAAAAATTATTTGAAGTTACCTGAAAGAAATTATTTAAGCAAGTCGATTCGCGTAACTTAAACTCATGTCGTATTTAATTTTAGCATACGAAACAACATTGCAACAAGGACTTCAATTTGAAAACAGACTGTTTCACAGTACTTTCTCTTTGGTAAGAATTTCATTTGCACATATACAATTTATGTGATCGTCCCGTAAAGTAAGAAATTTAATAACTTATTAAAATGTGAATTTTTCAGACGGATAGAAAAGAAGGAATGACGGCTTTCCTCGAGAAACGTCCGCCGAAATTTACGAACGAGTAATCCACGATAATTATGCGCAAAAGATGAAGCAAACGAATATTTTTTTAAGTATTTTTTATATCTCTTTTGTATATATAAAATAATCCCCTAACTGTACCTTTTTTCTATCTCTGTTGCTTGTAACTGACATGACACAATCTATCAGATTGCGGTTGAAAATATTTTATAATACTTGTCAGTTAAAAGTTAAACAGAAAGTATTACCTATTGTTTGTTATATGAGATATATATTGCAATAAACTTTTTTGCAAAAAAAAAAAAAAAAAAAAAAAAACGAGTGAGTCATAAAAACATGCGTAATGTCCATGAAACTTTTATTCGAGTATATTGCTGCTCTTATAACGACGTGGACTTTGAATATGATACATTTAAAGCTTATAATATATAGCGTTGCAGTTAATATTATAAAAGGAATAATAATAATTAATTATTATTATTATCGTAATAAAGAATGGGAGGGATACAACAGTCGATACAAGTGAGAATGTATAAACTGTTATCGTGAATGACAATGTCTATAATACTAGCGAGAGATATCTCGAAGAAACGATAGGAACAATAACATTTCGATAAACACCAATATAATTTGAAGTTCAAGTGTATAACGAAAAATGCGAATACTTAAACGATATAATTCCACCAAGTTCCTTACGTGTGTGGGTGATACGTATGAATTTTTTTTCGATTGAAATCCTAAGATTGTAAAATTTTCGAACTGGTAAAAAAGAGTTAAAAAATATACTTTCGAGTTTTGTGTTACAAAAGAAGCCGATATCAAATCCGATTTTTGCTAGTAAGAAAATCGACCGGGTCTCTCTTTCGGATATACGAATCTTAACGATGTTGACTAGCTAATACCTAATCGGCACGTATCTCTTTTACGCTTAATACCGATCACCTACAATTCGCGCCTTCTCCGCGTTCTTGCTTATTCTTTAAGAAAAAATAAAACTAGCTAAACTCTTAAATACTACACACGTGTATATTTCCGTGTCGCTGCCTTCGTTTTTTTTTTTTTTTATTCCTACGTTTTCTTTAAGTACGTGTCAGAAGATGGGAGTTATATATATTACCGGGCACACATTGATCGTTACGCGTTTCGAGAGTTTTAAGAAGTTCCCCCGATATATTTCGAAGAGAGTATATATGTACAGCGGAATTGTTCGAACCATCCTTATATAAATTTGTTCGTTTTCCGATTGCATTTTTTCTACTCTTTAATTCCTCCTTTTCCTTCTCCCTTTCTCTTCGAAGTTTGAATCTGTCAATTCCGTTTTAAATATTTAAAAAAAAAAAAAAAAAAACGCAGCTAAAAATTTGTATTTGCAGAGTGCTTTTCTTTCAATACCTTTACTAGGATACTTATGAGGAATCGAGGGATTTGAACACAAGGAAATTTTTATCTTTCTTTTTTTCAAAATAAAGATTAAGTACACGCTCCATTTTTGCATTTTCTAAATTCTTAGATCACTTCTTCTTATTTTAGAATTTAAAAAGGGTAAATATAAATGATATATACCTGTGTCTTTCTCTTCTCTTCGACCTCGGCATTGATTATAACATCTCTCGTGATATGTCGTAATAAAAATGCTGGTCCAAAAAGGTGTGCGCGTCTTTTGACGTATGGTATAAAAACTTATGCGCTTAGATCCGAAATTTGTACAGCGTCGATTGGTCCTCGGTCTTGTGCGATTAAATTTCGGGAACCTCTTAAAATTCGGCAGAAGAATCGTCTCGGTACGGGAACGGAACGGATGGGGGTGGACGAGGGTAGAGATGGAGATGAATTGGTTTTCATATGTATATCACAGTTGCAAGCTCTGCTTCGTTAACTACGCTGGTAAAAATGATCGAGATGACGGAGAATATAAAGTATCGGTACGCGACTCTCTTCACGTTCGTTGCTCTCGGGGTTTAAACCGAAGCTTGGGGATTTATCGTTTATTGCGATTTTTCATCGTAAAACGTCTCCAGAAATTGCCGCTCTTTTTCGTGGGTGTCGCGGCCGGAGCCTCGTACCCATAGCTGGACTCGTCGTCCGTATCCTGGGCACTGGGCGTCTCCCTCGTCGGCGAACCTCCATGTCCCGAATCCCGATCCCCGTCCGTTCCGTTCTTCTCCAAACCTGAAACGCATAACAATTTCATATAAATATATATGAAGAAAAATTCGTAAAAAATATCTAATATACGATTTTATTTTGTAATTCATAATTTCTCAGTATACATTTTTTTAAAGAAAATCAATAATAAAAACTAGTTTACCTGAATGTTTTATTGATTAAAAATGCGATGTAAGAGAGCAAAAAATTGAGAAAGTCCCTGAATTTGAAATAACTGGACAAATTCCTTACCGCCACCGCGCAACATGTCGAGGAACGTGCTCTCGGCGTTGCCACGCGTGCGTCCCTGCTTCTGGGACGGCGTGCCGAAGCTCAGGCTCTGGATATTGATCTCCGCCTTGAGCTGCTCCGGCGGTATGTCGTCGACGCGAAACTCGTTCGGGTCCTCGACGAAGGCCTGCTGCAGATCCCGCATGATCTTCTTGCGTATGGTCTTCTTCATCGACAGGTGCCGCTCCAGGTGTTTAACGTCACTTTCCGTCAGCGTCTTGCTGTTGTCCCGGCGACGGGACTTCTTCTTCTTGCTGTTCTTCGGGCTCTCTTCCTCACCTGATGTAGAACCCACCGAAACCGCGCTGTCGTGCGCCTTCTCCTCGGCGTGGCCACGTGCGTCCCATTTGTTGCCGAAGCTGAAGATGTCCCGCAGATGAGGGATGTTTCGGTCCACGGTCTGTTGTCTCGCCATGCCTCTCTTCGTTGGTCCTTCGAACTTGAAGAGAGCAAGAATCGCCCTCGAGGTTCCCCTTCTTTAGATTTGTCCTGAAAAAATATATAAATTATGAATAAAAAATTTCGGACGATTACGAAATAATTCGGAAATTATTTGACAGCTCTAGTTCATCTTTCTCTCTCTGAACGGGAGGGAATGAAATTCACGCCGATCGATATCTCGCGTTTTTCCTCCTCTACCATACTTTCTGATGAGAAGCCTTTCGATTTCATTTACACACGAGCCTTCCATCGCAAATATAGCCTTGACTCAATAAATATTTAATATGTATCCTTATATCCTGCACGTGCGTTTATCTAAGACTCTATTCTTTTCATGTTCTTTCTGTGCTTAAAATATATGTTCAAATTTTCAAATAAAAAAGAAGAAATTACAATAGAAAAATAGTAAAAAATAGAAATTACAACGCAGTAATAAACGAAGAAGAAATAGACCTCTTTTGGGAATTTATTTGGGACGACAGAGAATTCTCTAACAGAGAGCATAATATGTTATTATATTTTAATTATTTTATTAGATATCTTATTAGAGATTATCTTATTAGATTATCATATATAAATTTAAATATCTTATAAGGGATAGAATACACGATAGGAGAAATTGTTTGCATATTTAATTATTTCGCGTTATTTCGAGAAATCAAGCTTACGTAAAATGAACAGACTATAATAGCTACAACTCGTTCCTTTTATCTCGTTATGAGTTCTCCAAAATTGTGCAGAGATTGTACAGCTTGACAAATCCAGAAAGCGTGGGTATACTCGAAAAAGCAATCGTTTCTCCATATACAATAGGCTTAATCTAGGCAGGGGATTAAAGTCGTATAACGCTGTGTGTGACGGGGCTTGCATATTTCAAATATTGTTTCGCGATATACGTGCATATAGGGTGGTGACAGCGACAGTTTATCTTCGATCAGCCGGTTTTCCGTCGCCGCCGACGCGTTTCCCGGTTTGACAGAGAGAACTCGTTTATGGGGAAAAAAAGTCATCGACCGGGATCGCGTATGCATTGTGAGCTACCAGTCAGCCGTAAATCCAGTTTACGTGTAATCGACTTGCCAACGTTACTGCAAGTACTCGGGATGGGAATTTCGAACAATGAAAGATTTTTCATTGTAATTTCATTTGGAAAAATGTGATTAAAAATAAACGCAATTTAAAAATTTTCGGAGCATTGGAAAATAATCTGACAGCTGTCTTGTCAAAATGTCAAATCAGGACGATCGGTCGATTGAAAAGTTAAATAAAAAAATAAAGATTCACATTAATTACGAATATTGAGCATCATAAATTAGAGCAATGTCACTGCCATAATTTTCAATGTTGCACGTGAATCATTTAATTAGGATTCGCTCTGCATCTTGGGAAATCGTGTCGTGCATGTTGAGCATTTTAGTATTTACGTAATGTTTGCCTAATCACACGTTCGCGCAATTTTTCGTCCAAGAATAGACAGACATAAAATATAGTCTTTATTTTATGCTATTCCATCTAGATAATAAGGAAATAAATATAATCGATTTTTGAACATGTTTTACCAATATTCAAAAGAATTACTTAATTATTGAATTTCAACAATACAAACTGAATTTTCAGCGACCATAAATGAATTGTTTCTCAACTATAATAATTAACAGAATCTTCAAAATTAAGACAAATTAAGCTCAGATTTAAAAGGATTAATCTAACAATTTAAGAGTTTAATTTTCTCCTTTTTTAAATTAATCTCCTCTTTAAAGTATTCTAAGTAAAATCTAAAATGAAATAATATTAGGAACAATTAGATGGTACCCGATGAGATTGCAAAATATAATAATACACAGGGAGAATTTTCTCTTAAAATCCTGGTAATCGTGGGGCAATTTGGTATTGGAAGAATTTAGTAAGAGTTTCTTTGATTAATATTTACCACAATAAGATATAAAATATGTTCGATTAATTTTACTATGTATTAATATTTTTTATTGTGGTAAATATTTAATCAGAGAAACTCATAAAATTCTTCCCACACCATATATATATTGTCCCACCATTATTGATTACTATATTTTTTAGGGTAAAAAATTCTAAGAAAAAATTCTTTCCAAGATGATTAACGTAAATTATCAATGATCCAGCTTGAAATATGATTGTGCATACATTAAAGCGTATTCTTGAGGGACTCAATTTCCAAGAGAGGCGTCGCTAAAAGGGATACTCTCGATTGATTTGGCTCCTATAATCTCGGCGAACGCCGCGCAATAAGTATATGTATATGCGGGTGCGGATAAGACGTCGCGCGTGCATTACCGGGCGCTGTAATTACCGTACACGACCGCAATCGAGGTGGTTGAGCAACGAGGAAACGAGGAACGATCTCTCTCTCCACCTGGGTTGCTCAGAGCTCGGCAAGCAGAACCCGAGATACCGGCGAGATATACCGGTCGCCACATCGTGAACCAGAGACCTTTCACGTTCCCTTCGCATCGGTTCTGTTATCTAACGATGTATACCGGACGCTATGTGCGGTTAGCCGATATATATATATATATATATATCTATCACCGATCGGACGATTAATAAGTAGCTACGATCGAAGGAATCGCTCCGATTCCGATTCTATATATTGTGCACAGTAGGAAAATTTGGTTAAATGGTCCCCGTGAAAATTTTTGTGTTAAATATTTAACACATTCTTGTGTTAATTTATTAACATATTGCTGATGTGTTAATTGAACTTAAATGTTAGATTATTAAAACAACTGAAAAAAGATGGAAAAATAACACGATGTGCATCTATTTTAATTTGTTTTTGTGTTAAATATTTAACACATTCGTGTGTTAATTTATTAACATATTGCTGATGTGTTAATTAAATTTAAATGTTAGATTATTAAAACAACTGAAAAAGATGGAAAAATAACACGATGTGCATCTATTTTAATTTTGTGTTAAATATTTAACACATTCGTGTGTTAATTTATTAACATTTTGCTGGTGTGTTAATCGAACTTAAATGTTAAATTATTAAAATAACCGAAAAAAGATGTAAAAATAACACGATGTGCATCTATTTTTAATTTGGGATTTCTTGTTAAAAACGGTCCCCGTTAAAATTTTTGTATTAAATATTTAACACATTCGTGTGTCAATTTCACATATTGCTGTTGTGTTAATTAAATTTAAATGTTAAATTATTATAGAAAACAACCGAAAAAGACGTAAAAATAACGCAATGTGCATCTGTTTTTATTATAATTTTACACAGTAAATATGTTCTGTTTTAATAGTGACAAGATTTATCTGTTCAAATTTACAGAAAAAAATGTTGATTTTTTATTTTATAAGTAGGGATGATAAAATCTAAAATTAACATATATATTTAGTTAATATTTATATTAATTTTATATAAAATTTATTTTAAATTACTTGAAGTTTTGCATTTATTTTCTTAAAATATTAACACAATATTTGTGTCTCCATTTAACAGATTCATATTACGTTAAATTAACAAAAAATTTTTGTGAACCGCTTGGGACATGCAATATCTGTAATGATACGTTAATCGAAGCATAAAATTTGGATAAAATAAATTATCGTTTTAATTGTTGAAACTAATTAAAGAATGTTGTAGAACTATAGAATTCATCGAAAACTATAAAATTCATTGGAATAATCTCGAAAAATGACATGATATGCTAACTTGGCTGAAAGTGAGCACATCATTTTAAATTTGAACAATAAAATTTTATAGTTTTCGATAAGTTTTATAGTTCTGTAGCATAGTTCCGATCGTGGGCTGCCACTAAATAAATATTTAATCCAAAAACTTTCTGTGGATCGTTTGAGACATGTGATATCTGTTAAATTTAACACAAATTTTTCAACTGTGCAAAAACTGTCCTAATATATAAAAATTCATGGAAGATAATAGTGACAAAAATTATAACAGCAAGATTTCATCGATTATAAACTCCTAAGAAATATTTTCGCATATTATATCATTTTAGATTCAGTGCAAAAAAATTGAGATTATAAGGAGAATTAAACACTTTAATACATACAATAATATTCAATTGAAAGATAAATGTTCAGGCTACATGAAAGAATAATTTTCTTATATATTGCTCATATTCACAACATTACAGAAAAGAGATAGAAAGATAGAGAGAGAGAGAAGAAATATACCGTAAGTCCAATAATATTCCACAGACCTAGTTTTTAAAATTTCAATCTAAAAGTAATTAAATCTAATCTTCTCACTTCGATCACGAAAGAGCGCACAGTTAAAATAACTCGAGATATAAATGTAATTCTTACACTCTGCTCGATCCTGCAATCTATTCCGAATTAACGGAACATTCGGCAAAAAATAGCTGCGCCCAAAGGAGGGAATGATTTTGGGAGATTATTCCGCGAGACGATGAGATTTTTTGGTACAATAATTTCCCGCACACCCACTGGGCTGGGCAATGGTGTAACATAATTACAATGTACCGTAAGCCAGACGGTCGAAGCCTTCACGCGTGGTAGACCGAAGCGAGCCAAAGCGCATACAGGACGTGGAGAACGGGTCTCCTCGTCGTGTATGTATCGATTTGTGGTTCTCTCTACGAAGCGGTAGTCCGCCGAATGCGACGCGACGCGTATATCAATATTTCCCGTATCCTACAAACCGTTTCTTAAAAAAAAAAAAAAAAATCGGAAGCTGGATCTGCATGGTTAAATAAGCTACAATTTTATGTATCAAATTTTTAAAACAAGGTATATATGAGTAATATATTTTTAATCCAATACTCTGTTTGTTCTCAATTTTTTGTTACTTGACGAGGAAATAAGATGCTCTCATATTTTAAAGAATTTTTGGAAATTTTTAATAACGAGAGAGAACACAATAACAAGTCCTACGAACCGTTTCTTAAAAAAAAAAAAAAATCGGAAGCTGGATCTGCATGGTTAAATAAGCTACAAATTAATGTATTAAATTTAAAAAAAGCGCTATATAAATTATGTATTTTTAACTCCAAACTCTGCCCGTTTCAATTTTT